TATTGCTATTTATTCACTTACTTATTCAGGCAGGGACATCTCACTATGTAGTTCAGGCTGGCCTTAAACTCACTAAGAAGCCCAGGCTGGTCTCAAACTCAGGGTGATCCTCCTGAGCACTGGGATGACAGGCATGCGCCACCACACCCAGTTTTTATCACTCGTATTTTCTCCCTGCCAGTGCTTGGCCCATAACTAGAGGGCCAAACACATTTGCTGAAGGAGCACCAGGATCTCAGTAGTGAGCTCGGAGCTGCCTGAGGGCTGCGTGTGAGGCGCTCCTACTGGTTTAGGGAAAGCAGGCAGCTGGGAAGCAGGCTGACCTGGGCTCGATCACCGACCCCGAGCCGCTGTCTCAGTGCTGGGCTTCTGCCTCCTCACTGTGAGACAGAATTCAGTCCAGCAGCCCCCCTGGGCTGTGTGGGAGTTCGGGGCATTACAACACTGACGCACATCACCAACAGCAGTTCCTTTCCCACACGCTGCAGCGGTGTCTTCCGGGGCAGCCAGACATGAGGATGACACACACCAGAACCCTGAGCTAGTGGCATGTGGCACCTAAACGCACACCTTTGCAAAGTGCCACGCACATCCTGTCAGAGCTCATGTCTGTTCTGCACATTGGTAGCTCCAGGACGGCAGCCACTGCCAGACTGAATGAAGACAACCAGGCTGACAGTGCTGTCTGTCCTTAGAACAAGCCACGGGATGGGGAAGGCAACGGCGAGGCCAAGGTCATGCACAGGGGTGGTTAAGATGCAACGGGCAGCAGCACAACCTCCACTTGCCCAATCTCCACTTGCAACAGCCTCACCATGTCCAGGGACACCTGTTAGGCAATGACCCTGGACACAGCGCACAAGGCTCTGAGGACAGAGCCAAAGAAGTAAGGCAGGCGGTTGGTAGCCAGCTGCGGGCTCCGAGGCCCGGGCCCGGGCATCAATGGCACCACAGCTGCCTGCATTTGCCTTCCACATCTCAGCAGGGTGACCTCAGCACTGCCCCACAGGGTGCTCCGAATCAGCAGCAGGGCGTGCAGGGCCAGGCAAGGGTGGGCAGCTTGCGTGCGGGAACCACTGCCCACACACAGCCATAACTGCAGCCCTTCTGGAGCTGTTCTCAGGGAGGACCTGAACTATAGGCTAGTGCCACGTGCAGCCCCCAGCAGAGACGAAGGTGAGGGTTGTCCTGACACAACAGACCTGCACCTGCTTGACTTCCTCGGAGATCAAGACCCCCATACACACACAAACTCAGTGCACAAGCAGCTAGCCAGGTTGGGGTGCTCACTGTCCTGGGAGCCCCAGCCTCCTTGCTGAAGGGCCATATGGGACGCCCAATGCAAGAAAAGGCCACAAAGGAGTCTCACCCGGTTAGGGGAGGAAGCGTATCCACCCATCGGCTACCTTCCCAGGCTCCTGCAAGCCCAGCACACACGGCAGGTGGTCTTGTCTCCACCCAACCCCCTGGTTTCTTCACCCAAAAGCCCTGCCCACCAACTGCGCTTCTAGCCTTCAAACGGCTTCTGTGACTCAGGGCCCTGGGAGCTGAAGCAGTGAGACCTGCAGAAAGATGGTGCCCCAAGAGTTCTCCCGGAGCCTCAGAGAAGCTCAAGTAGGAGCTGCGTGGGCGTGAACCCAGACTGGATAGCCATATCAGCCACTCCGGCTCTGACATCACAGGGTCCTTGGCTGCAGGAGCCTGGTTAGAGGGCTCTGCCATGTGGTCAGGGCCACAGTGTGTGGGAGAGCACCTTCTATTTTTATGAACAAATCGCACAGAATTAAGAAAAGTGTGACACTAATTCTCTTCTGGCTTGTGTTAGACCAAGAGGCATCAAACCTTGGATCTCGGCACCCCTTTACACACTTAAGTAATTACTGAGAAGGCCAACGTTTTTGCTCATATGAAACAATAGCTAGCAATACTTATGGTATTAGAAACTAAAACTGAGAGATATATTTATTGACTCACTTAAAATTAATGATAAACCTATTACCCATTATCATAAAAATATACTTTAATAAATATAACATTTTCTGAAGTATTTAAATATAAGATTGATATCATTTGATATTTCTTTCAAATTTCTTTAGTGTCTAGCCTTACAGAAAACAGATTTATTTTGCATTTAATTTGTTATGATATATGTTGTTTTGATAAAAGTCCAGAGAAGGTTCAGTCACTTTTCCAGTCCAGTGACTGGAAAAAAGGAAGACTAGTTCACAGATCTTTCAGTTTAACTGGACATTCTCCGATCCCACCCCAACCTCAGAAGTGTGTATAATATTTTTAACATCACATTAAACACTATTATCAATCTCATCAGAAAAGTATTGCAAAGCTACTGAGCTCAAATTTTCTAGAATTCTAGTTTTCACTTGAAAGCTCAAACTTCACTATTGGCAACACACCGTGGCAGTCTTGCTCCTTGAGGTGACAGACTCACCAGTCCCCTGGGGACACCACCACAGGTGAGCATCGCAGTCCGTCAGTCACCCTCAGGCGCGCCTAGCATCTGACCCAAGAGCAGATGGCTGAGTGCACTGCCCAAGTGCTGCCCTGAGAAGGCGCGGTGCTGCCTGCCCGAACCTGCAAGTGTGCTTCCCTCAGCTGAGGGGAAAATGAAGGGACGCGCCAAGCATTGCGACTTAGCAGGGAGAACTCTTGCTGCTGCACAGACGTTTTCCTTCTAGCACGCCTGTCGTGGAGAGCACATCTGGGGCCTCCACCCCACACTGAGCCACACAGCATCACCCACTGCTGATTTTCAAAGCTGGTAAATAACATCTTACTATGAAAACAGCTTTGACCTGAAGACCCCAGGAGGGCATAGGCGCCCCCGAGTGCCCACAGACAGCAGCTGGAGAACGGCTGCCATCCTCTGCTCTGTTCCTGCAAGCTGCCCACGTTCAGACTGGGAAGGAGCCTGGGCGACATCTTAGCAAACAAGCAAGGACCCAGAGGAGCACCGGGTCCACAGCTGGAGCTGGCTCTACTCTAACCCATGCCAACTTGCCACACTGGCACCTTTCCTGGGCAGGACTTATTGAGGGGTGTGTGGGAGGACTTCTGGTCTGTTAGGCTGCAGTAGGTGATGCTGCTTCTCAGGACCTGCCTTGTACCCTGGGCCACCCTGTCAGTCTTTCCCAACTCATGCCCCCAAATCCACAGTGCCACCGTCTAGCCCACCCTCTTCAGGCATTACCCACCCCTACTTTTCCCACCCTTGACAACCTGGAAGGATGTGGGCTTGCTTTATCTCTGATACGATCTGGTCCTAGTATAAATTGCTGAATCATTATGGTGGTCATCTAATATGGCTGAAGCCCTTAAAACAAAAGCGCATCTTCCCCAGGACCACCTCCCACTTCTTCTCCAACTCAGCCCAGGGTGTAATCTCCTTTTACCCATCCAGCTGCCTCAGGGGAGACCCCAATCCGCTCCTCAGGTATATCTAAACATCCCCCTCAAACTCCACCCCTGCCAAAAGGCCATAAAAGCCTCAGTCTCCCTTTGTTCCGACTCACAGAATCCCTTCTCTTCCCCAGATTCTCTCCATGTCCTCGAAGACAGTAAAGCCCATTTCCCTTCCTCCTTCTGCCTGTCTCTGCTGCTCTGGCACCTGAAAGCCCTATCAATCTTCTGTGAGTTGAACTAGCTCTGTGGGTTCCTCAACAGAGCTGTGCCTGAGTTACAGATCCACGGTGGTGGGGAGGTCATTCAGCCTCCCCAGGACTCCATTTCCTCCTTTGGGAAGTATGGCTAACGTCTTCCTGGAAGGGTTTTTATTACAGTTAATGACTCTGTACCAAACCCAGAATAGTCCCTATAAAATGGCAAACCCTCAGTCTGTGGAGGTCACTGGCTCCGCGTTCCCTAGCAGTGAGCTTCACCTCCCTGTTCCCATTTCCCATGTATCTCAGTTGCTGTGTGTCCTTCTAGGCTGTGTTATCCCCTGGGGGTGGTGGAGAAAAGCACCAGGACACTCCCTGGAGTGAAGGGCGCCCCTGCTTCCTGGCCTGAGGGTGACTATGTTCCTTAAAGGAAGTGATGCCTTCCCAGACTCTGGCTGTTGGTTGTGAGTCAGGCTGTACGTCTCCTCAGGCAGCACTCACTCCACTCCACCATCTCCCTCTGCCTGGGAGGCCAGGCTTCGTGGCTGCGGCCCTTGGCCACTCCACTCCACCATCTCCCTCTGCCTGGGAGGCCAGGCTTCGTGGCTGCGGCCCTTGGCCACTCCACTCCACCATCTCCCTCTGCCTGGGAGGCCAGGCTTCGTGGCTGCGGCCCTTGGCCACTCCACTCCACCATCTCCCTCTGCCTGGGTGGCCAGGCTTCGTGGCTGCGGCCCTTGGCCACTCCACTCCACCATCTCCCTCTGCCTGGGGGGCCAGGCTTCCTGGCTGCGGCCCTTGGTCACAGATGTTACTGGTCTCTGTGCACCCCCGTCACAACTTCTGAATGTATCATAATACATTTAATCAAATACTCTTTGACTTACTAAACAGGAAGCAGATTGGCAACAGCAGTAACGCTACCAGGAAATGCTACGCCTGCAACCAGGCTCCGGCTTCCTAGGAAACGTCAAGCTACACTAAGACGACAAGCTAGGCAAGGCGGAAGCTGGGTCTGCACAGCTACAAGGAGGACTCAGCCAGGACAGCTCACTGAACCACCAAGGCTCGGGGAGGACAGGCAGAGGCAGACAGAACAGGTGGCGAGAAAGGGACGGCCAGCAGTCACATCACAATTTACGTATCAGAATCTTACCTGCCTCCAGATAGCTCAGGGACTAAAGCGCCTGCTGGAGATGGATCCCTGGCGTGTCTGCCGGCCCCACCCCTGGGGCATGCTGGGATGGGGATTGAGGCTGGGCGTGGTGGCCCACACCTGTAATCCCAGGACTTGGGGAGCTGAAAACAGGAGAATCCCTAGAGTCCAATCTGCTACTGAGACCCTGTAGACCCTGTACTAAATACAAAAATAAATAATCTTACCTGCTTGATCAAGCTCGAGCAAAAAATATGGAGCACACATAGACTGGAACAGCTTCTTTACCTAGAAGAGATTGGAACGCTAAAGGTCACAGGTCACAGGTCACAGGTCACAGGTCACAACCCACAACCCACAACCCACAACCCACAACCCACTAGAGGAGAATCTCTCCCATCAGCCTTGCTCTCCTGCCCCTGCCAGCCGCTCCCTCCTAACTTTTCAGCTCATTTTGATACAACCCACAAGATCCTCCTGCTGTCCATGAGAATCTTTAAAAGAGCTTTTGAAGTCTGTGGATCCTGTCCTGCTGTCAGTGATTCACTTGTGTAGCTTCAGAAAATAGATTTTACACGTTTGGTGACTCCATCTACCCCACGAGGAAATGGGCCTGATAATAACCACTGGAATACTTAATGTTTCCAAAACGCCATGTGGTAGCCCTGGGGAAAAAGATCCTCACAGTACTGACTTTTTTTTGCCCAATAAACTTCAACCAGCCAATCAGTTTTAAAAGTCACAGGTTATGTGGCTGCTTTCAAGCTCGAGTTGTTTTCCTGGGTTCCACGCTCTGGGGCACACAGGAAAATGATTTATCAACAGCATGAATCCATAAAAGTTAGCCAGACTGGGGAGAGAGCTCCAAGGCACAAAAAAAGTTAGCCAGACCTCAGGCTCAGATTCGGAGAGGGGCAAGAGTACAGCTCGCAGAAAGAAGGCGCATAGAATAGCTACAGCTGACAACCAAAGGCTTCCGAGTTCTCTGAAAAAACTGGCAGTGAAGAATACAGCTGGCTGGCCGGGGAGATGGCTCAGTAGAATACGCGCTTCCCTGGCAAGCGCAAGGGCCTGAGTTCAGTCCCTGGTTCCACAAAAAGAAAAGAAAAGAATACAGCTGGCACTAAAGAGGTGAACAGGATTAAAGACAGTGGGACAGAAATCACCTCAGCAATCCCGAAGTGCAAGCCTCCCTCTCTGCTAACAGCTTCGCCATTACTGCTCAGGCAGCAGCTAAACCCATCACAGAAACGCTTCCCGGAATACTGTTACGTCGGCTCGGTGCCGCCAGCTTCACAAGTCTTAGGAAACGAGCTGAGCAGTACCCAGGACGAGCGCTGGACAGCAGGGCACTAAGCCGCAGGACGTGGGCGAGAGGACGACGGTGTCCCTGACTGCGTAGAAAAGTTTGACGAAGCATCAGAAAATGAAGCCAACTAAGTCTTTTCTGGCTTTTGGAAGCCGCCATGGACTAGATTCAACAAATCAGCTCTGTGGTTCCAAGGTTTTACCAACACAGAGAACATCATCTGTTACTAGCTCAGTAACACAATATTTTATATAATAACAATGCTGTTTGTTCAGCGTTTTTCAGTCATTTCATTTTGCATTTTGTCCTTCTTACCAGGATCTATTCTTCTGGTCAAAATATGAAGTACTGGTGCAGCTTGAGGGTGAAGGGTTTTGATTCTTGGGTTTTTTTTATTTTGGGGGGTTATTTGGGTCTATGTATGTACATATGCGTGTGGGTGTGTACACACAATGGAGAACAGTTTGGAAAACAGTTCTATTTATCCTCTGCCTTCCCCCAGTAAAAATAAATCTTTACATTTGCTAAAATAAATAAATAAATAAAAGTCATAGGTTAAAGTTATAAAAAATATAAAACCTTTTTTTTTTTTTTTTTTGGGGGGGGGGGAACCAGGGATTGAACTCAGGCCCTTCTTATGCTTGCCAGGGAAGCACTTATTCTACTGAGCCATCTCTCTGGCCCCCTAAAACCTAAATTTTTTTTAGGGAAAAACTAAAATTTCATTATAAAAGTTACTTCTGCCAAACCTGTACTACTAAATAACATTCGAATGACTAGTAAAGGAAACTTACCTACAAGAAGACATCAGCATACACAAATGGCCTTCAGTAATATTTTGGGAAATTTTAGAATCACATTCTACCTTCTTGTTTGTTGGGTATGATTTAAAAAAAAAAAAAAAAAAAGGCCCAAGGAGCCCGAGGCTCACAGGAATTATCAGTCAGAAAAGTGGATCTTGCCTTGAGGGCCTGGACCAGCAACAGACGTCCTCACACAGACACAGGCTGGCAGACCCCACACGACCAAGGATGACCCTGGATCCACACGGGAAGCTGGGTGCATTCACACTGTTCCGGGCGCTCTTACACGTCTTCCTTTGGCTCCTACGTGTAGCTCCCTGGCAACATACATTTAAAAAGATAAAAGTCCTTCTGAGAAAGAGGACACACACACACACAAAGACAAGGTATGGCAAGAGGGACCTCAAATATAAGTACCAGCAGCTGTGGCAATAAGCCTGCAGACAAAGTCAATTCATACTCAAACACTCACATACATACAAGATAAAAACTCTTGTCTTCCTTAGGCACATCCTTTATAAAGAAAGCATTGTTTGCTGGACTGGCCAAATAGCTCAGCGGATTAAAGTGCCTGCTAGGCAGAGCACAGCTGCCGGGGTTCTATCCCTGGCCTGCCGGGCTGCCCCGAAATGAGAGGGTGATTGAAACTGGGAGTGGTGGCACCCATCTGTAATCCCAGCTCTTGAGAGGCTGAAAACAGGAGGATCACTATGAGTACAATCTACATAGGAAGACCCTGTAGACCCTGTAGACCCTACAGACCCTTACTAAATACAAAAAAAGAAAACATGGTTTGTTACAATAAAACATATTTACCAGGTCTAGAGAGTAAATCCTAAAAAGCCAATCCAAAAAGTCATCATCACATTTGAGCTGGGTATGGTGGCACATACCTGTAATCCCAGCCCTTGGGAGGCTGAGGCAGGAGGATCACTGTGAGTTTGAGGCTAGCCTAGGCTACAAAGTGAGCTTAAGGCCAGTCTGAATTGTATAGCGACAAAAGCCCTGTCTCAGAAGAAAAAAAAAGAGGGAGTGAAATGTAAGAAACAAAAGCACTACATTCTAGAGTACACATAATCCCGCTTCAAGAAATTTACTTTCTGGGTTAATTCTGAAAGAATTTGAGCATGGTTATGTAGTACAGATTTACAGCTTTGCAGGGAATCGCAGAACTGTTTTCTAGAATCTTCTCACCGATCAAAATGGAGGATGTTCGACTTTGCCTGTAATCAAGCACACTGTTGAGAAAGGGCCATGGATCTGCCCACCAAGCAGCACACGGGCTGGATGAGTCATCCTTTGCCAGTTCCAACTAAATACTTCCGCCTCCACGGAAAGGGCTGGGAGACACTTATCACCTCTTCTGAAAAGGGAGCGAGGGCTGACCTTTGTCCTTCAAAATGCCCTCTTCACAGGAGGACACATTTGGCACACACAGCAAAAATATTATACAACACACAGGAAACTGACTTTACGTAGAAGGTCATTTCATTGCGGGCCTTTCCCAGCGTGAATTAATGCAAATTACATTACTCACCTCAGAGAGAGGGAAATCTCAATCAGGCCAAGGAGAATGCGAAAACAAAGTTTCTCCCTTCCAGTTTACTCAGACCGCAACTGTTAAACAAGTTTATAAAATCAAAGAAGGAAACGACCTGAGAAAATTTTATTTCAAGGTAATTTTTTTTTCTTTCTTTCTTTCTTTCTTTCTTTCTTTCTTTCTTTCTTTCTTTTTTTTAAGATGAGGGTCTTGCTGTGTTACCCAGGCTGGCTTGAAACTCCTGGGGTCAAGAGATCCTCCAGCCTCAGCCTCTCAAGCAGCGGGGATTACAAGCATGTACCAATGCGCTCAGCTGGGGTTATTTTTCAAAGAGCTAATACAAGCAGCTAAGTATACAATTTGCAGCCTGCAGAGAAATGCACCATTTTTAGCAGGAGAGTCACTTAGTATCTTTCATGGCCAAACACATCGTTCACATTAGAGGGCACCAATATGAAAACAGCTGGCATATGCAGCAGAGCGAAGGCAAAAGGTAAAACCTGAGGCTATTTTTTTAAATTTACTTTTAATAGAGAAATAAATATGAATGAGACAGTTTCAAAGCTGATTAATAGGACAGTTTTGATAATCAATACATTGTACATTGTTTTCTTCTTAGTGGTTATCCATAGTACAAGAAGCAGACAGGATATCCTGTCCAAACACTGTTAGTACACCTCTTTCTTCTCATTGAGTTAAGCGAAAGTAGCTGTATATTTATCCTATTTTGTAAATACAAATACAAAATGATCTTTCCTTTGTATCCCCCCCGCCTTTTTTTTTTTGTCCTGGCAGAGGTGGATATTCTATTGGCATCTAAATACTGAGGTGTTTGAATTCAACTAAACAATCGAACACTGCCTAGCAGTCTATAATATTAGTGGGTTATTCTCAGAAGTTGATAACTTGAGCCTCTTACAGCTCATCGTATTAATATGGCTTTACTTTATATACCTCATTTTTATACTTTTCTGCTGGATGGTTAAGACCAAGATAAAGCAAGACCTATATGCCAAGAAATGTAACTTCTGTATCTGATAAGGTCAGTCCTGTCGCCCTGTACCGCACTTTGTACATCCTTTTGTCAGTGTCTGATGTGAGGATGAGTCACGGCCATTGTTTAACCAATTTGCTCTCTGTGAAAGCTTGAGAAAATGTTTTTTCTCCCCATGTGACTCTCCCCAGGCTCACTGTACATCATTAGTCACATTCCTCTGTGGCTCCATGATCTTCTTGATCAGAAAATTTGGAGCACAACTGAGTTACAATCTCCTATGTCCCGAGTCTTCACTGGCCTTGAAAGGCTAGGGCCAAAATGTTAGCTGACCTTGCAGCCCTTCCTTTTCCCCAATTTTGAACTGCTAACTTAGGTTGTTAATCCTCCAGAAGAGAAGCTTATCATTATCCTGCAATATATGCAGTTCAGTTTACTCTATCTGTCTAAATATCAAACATTTTGGCATATCCTGGAACAGGTATTTTCCATCAAATACTGATATGTTGAACTTTAAGTCCTTACAGAATATGAAGGAAAAATAATTTTATAAAAGTAGAAATAAGCATTAACATTTTTACAAAGAAATTTAGAAATCTAACCATATACAGAACTATAACAGGACAGACCTGTGACATTTTTTTTCTTATTCTTGTGGTTTTTAAATTTTTTTTCAATTTATTACCCTTTTTTTAAAAAAAAAAAAAAAAGACTTTACTTGAGAGACATTATGGCAATAAATGGTATGTCATGACAAAAAGTACATATTTAGAAGACCAGGATGGCAGGCACTCCAAGCGCGACCCCTCTATTACACATCACCATCTTCAGTGCAGCCGCCCGGCTCACGGGCACCAGCATATACAGTTAGTCAGGGTGAGAGTCTCACCAGCCAACCGCTAGTCTCAAAAACCTGCCGATGTCCCCCAGGATCATTGCCCCACCCATCTCATGCGTACAAATGCATGGCTTTGCCCCGGTCATGTTTCCCAGCTTTTCTCCTTGCCCACTACTCATTGTCCAATCCTCAAGTTCTCACTTTCCTTTTATTTGTGTTGTAACTTTATATATATAATTCCTCCTTTAAGTTCTTATACTAGGGAGACAATACAATATTTACACATGTGGGTTTGGTTTATTTCACTTAAAAGTATATCTTCAAGTGGTATCCACTTAAATATGAAGGCTTCGAGCTTATCACTCTTTATAGCTGAGTAATACTCCATTACATAAAAGTACCACATTTTTTTCAACCATTCCACATGTGACGGGCATCTTGGTTGTTTCCAAGATGTGGCTATCACAAACTGTGCTGCTATAAACATAGGTACACATATATCACTATGATATGATGCTTTCAGTTCCTCCGGGAAAATTCCCAGTAGGGGAATAGCTGGCTTGAATGGGATTTCCAGGCCTAGTTTTCTAAGGAGTCTCCACACCAATTTCCATCATGGTTGCACCAGTCTACACTCCCACCAGCAGTGGAGAAGGGTTCCCCTTTCCCCACAGCCTCTCCAACATTTGTTGTTGGTTGATTTCTTTATGTTAGCCATTCTTTCTGCGGTGAGATGGTATCTCAGTGTTGTTTTAATTTGCATTTCATGGATGGCTAGTAATAAGGAGCATTTTTTCATATATTTATTCACTTCTTTAATTTCGTCCTCTGAGAAGTGTATGTTCAACTCAGATGCCCATTTCTGGATTGGGTCTTTATATTTAGGGGCCCTAATGTTCTTTAGTTCTTTATAAATTCTAGAGAGCAGACCTTTGTCTGAGTGTTTATTAGTTAAGATTTTTTCGAAGTTTGTGGGTTGTCTTTTCACTTTATTGATAATTTCTTTTGACATGCAAAAACTTCTCAGTAAGAGGTGGTCCCAGTTGTTAATTCTTTCAAGTATTTCCCGTGAGATTTGATTTTTGTTCATGAACTCTTTGCCTACCCCTATGTCTTCAAGAGTTCCTCCTACTTTCTCTTCTAGGAGATTCAGTGTTTCTCTTTTAATGTTTAGTTCTTTAATCCATTTTGACTTTAGTTTAGTGCATGGTGATAGACCTGGGTCAAGTTTTAGTTTTCGGCATGTACAGAGCCAAATTTTCGAGCACCATTTGTTAAAGAGACTATCTTTCTTCCAGTAAGCGTGTTTAGCCCCTTTGTCGAAGATCAGGTAGCTGAGTGTGTTCCTAGAGGTCTCTGCATCTACTAAGTTATTCCATTGACCCTTAGGTCTATTTTGTTGCAATACCATGCAGATTTTATTACAGTTGCTTTGTAGTATAATTTCAAGTCAGAAATTGTAATGCCTCCTGCTTTGTCTTTGTTGGCCAGGATTGCCTTTGCTATTCTCCTGAGGCTATTTGTGTAGCAGACCTGGCACACCAGGAGTGATTTGACAGTAACAGAAATAAAGTTGTCAGAATAACTACACATTGGGCTGGTGAGATAGCTCAGCAGACTAAGTGCCTACTTTGGCAAGCACAGCGACCGTGGTTTGATACCGAGTCCTGCATGCCTGCCACCACCAGCCCCGCCCCCAGGGCACACTGAGCCACTGACCCAGTCCAGGCATGGTGGCACACACCTGTAATCCCAAAGCTGGGGAGGCTAAAAATAGGAAGATTACTACAAGTCTGAGCTGCATAATGAGTCCCTGTACTAAATACATAAGTGAAAAAAACCCACATATTTAAATAAATATGTAAATATGAATGAGTTTTATAGGAAAATTTCTCCACTGTAGAGCAGATTTGAAGAGCTAGGAAGTGAGGAAATTGGTAGAAGAACTGAGGAACCGAGTAGTTAGGACCTTAACAGGTCTAAGCTGTGAGATTTCAAGGACTAGACCTGGAATCTAAAAACCCATCCATGCCTGGGGCAATCTGGACTGAAAGACTTGGTCCAAATTATAATTTTTCAATTTTTTAAAACAATCTGAGGGGCTGGCCAGATAGCTCAGTGGATTAAAGTGCCTGCTTAGTCAGACGCAGGCACCGGGGTCTGATCCCCAGCCTGCTGTGTTGGCCCCACCCCTGGGGGTGCACTGAGATAGCCATTGAGACTGGGTGTGGTGCTACGCCTATAATCCCAGCTCTTGGGAGGCTGAAAATAGAAGAATCACTATGAGTCCCAGTCCAATCTGTGTAGTGAGACCCTATAGGCCCTAATAAAATATAAATAAAAAAAAGTTGAAAAGTCTAAGTAGAGTGACCAGAGACTGCCTGGCACACAGCAGGCGCCAAGGTAGCTCTGACCACTGGCAGAATCAATGGTGCTGGAATTATGCCAGGTACTCGATGACTACTACTGCACTGAGCCTCTGCACTTAGAGAAGGAAGATCACCATCCAAGACTTTAAGCTGAGATCAGGGAAACAGGAAGAGCAACAGCTTGTTATCAACAAACATGTCCACAGCATTTATTAAGTGGCAGGTATGTTCTGTGGCTTTCATGAATATTAATTAATTTAAGGCTCACCACAGACTTACAACAGACTAGTACGATTATAGACAATTGGCAGATGAGGAAACTGAGACACTAAGGTAAATAACTTAGCCAAGGTCACATGACCACCAAGTCACACGGCCAAGATACAAACTCCAGACGCTTAACCATAATTTAGCAAAAGAAAATATTAGAAAGCCACATGGTTATAAAGCAAAAAAAAAAAAGGGGGGGGGGAATGGAGATAGCTCAGTAGAATAAGTGCTTGCCTGGCAAGTGCAAGGTCCTGAGTTTAATCCCCAGTACTGCAAAAAAGAAAAAGAAAGGAAAAAAAAAAAAAAAAAAAAAAAAAAAAAAAAAAAAAAAAAAAAAAAAAGAAAGAAAAGAAAAGAAAAGAAAGAAAGACCTCTATAACGAACTAGCCTCAACCCCTCTATTTTAAAAATTAAACATATATGGGAGAGGGGAGCCCTCAAGAAGACCAGATCAGCAGAGCTACACAGTTCACCCCCAGAGGCCAGAATCACACAGCAGATGTTGAACACCTAGCTTTCTTCTAGATTTAGCCCACTGCCTCTGCCAGTGTTCTGCCTTCTCTGACTGACGAGGGATGGGATATTGTCTTCGCAATCCCACTGGCAGTACAGCATGCCACATACAAGGCCTCATGTCACATAGACAGGGGAGTTTAGGGGACAGCGATGTAGCCTGTGTGCAAAGGAGAGGAAAGATGAGAAAGTCTTCCTGCTCCAAGTGTGTTCGCTGCTTGGCCACCTTCTGTCTCTTTTTGTCTGTCTGTTTCTCTCTCTCTCTCTCTCTCTCTCTCTCTCTCTCTCTCTCTCTCTCTCTCGGCTTCTTGAGACAGGGTCTTGCTGCCAGTACAGGGTGGTCTAGAACTCACTATGCAGTCCAGGCTGGCCTGATCCTCAGAGATGAGAGACACTACAGAGCCCACAGAGACACTACAGCCTTCCCACAGCTCCACGACAGGCCCTGTGGCAGAGCCGAGCACCTTAGACCCATCCACCCTGGCTGTGGTTGCTGACCTTTTCTCTCTCTGCTAAGTTTCGGTAAAGAACAAAGAAGAAGAAGAAAACAGTTTTAACAGCTCTTTCTCTGTAAGGTCATCCTCCCCATCATAAACCAAAGCATCGGTGAAGATCCATCAAATTCCAGGCCTGCTCTAAGCAAGAACCTCAGGAGCCATCCTGGAGATAAGCCTCCACACAGCATTCCCGGACCTGGAGGACCTGGGCGCATACCACACTTGGCAGAACCTCAGGAAAAGACTGCTCAAGCGTGCTGTATTCTCAGAGCAACATTCTCCATATCCTGAAGCCAGCCCCCCCTCCACACGTCCCCTCTGAAGGTGAAATCTAACCATATCCATCTCAGCTCATAGGTCTGTCAGATTCCCCTCAGGCTCGAGGGAAAGCTTACCCCAGTGCAGCGCTGCTTGGGCCTCTCGGATGATGAATGTGGTGACAGTCTCTATGGCCACCAAGAGCTCCTGTCTGCCCAGGCCAAGCTAGAGACTCCTCCTAGGACATCTGGCGTGGCTCAGGCAGGGTGATGATCCTTACCTAGAAGCCATAGGAGCAAAGATGGCAATTATCGGAAAGAAAAACAGTGATGCACTCACTGCCTAATACTAGGCTCCCTGCACAAGCCACACAGCGAGGGTATGGAGTCTGAGGAAGGCCTCCATCACCTGATGAGATCCCTCGGCCACTCGGTCAGCGTTCCCAGCTCAGGGCGCCACAGTCCACCTCAGCACTCTCAGGGGACCAGGGCCAGAACCTGAACCTCTTCTGGCAACAGGAGAGCAAGGGTCAGATCCCACACACCGAGGGCGACCTCTACACACGCTGCACTCCTCACGGTCAGATGAGGAGCAGCTGGCACTCAGACCCCAAGTCCCCTTTCTATACCACCCAGCCCCAGCCTAGACCTAGGCTTGGCTCTTTCCTTATCCAGGTTTCTGAAACAGCTCTGGAGATCTCTACTCCCTGCCCAGGACTCTTCCCCGTCCCACCAGGCGCTGACTGAACATGACCCATCCCGGGGCTATGCCATGTTCATGTGGCAGCTGTAACCCTGGGCAGCACCGCCAGCCAAACCACCAAGGCTTGCTGTCTCTGGCTTGTAAATGTTTGAAACTAGCTATTTTCCTCAGGGCCTACACACAAACCGGCTCTGTCCTCCCTTTTCCTTGCTCCTTAAGGGAGTCCCTGTCATGTGAGTTTATCTTCCTAGATAAACAAGGGGCCATTTTTTCCTGGTCTTCTCAGCACTTTTGCGGTGAGATACCAACATTCATCCAGAAGTAGGCGTGGGGTGAGTGTTCACAAGCACCCTCATTTGCACCTTGCGTGCCGCCTGTAGGCATGGTTACCATAAGCTGGTTCACAACAAGGAGACCGACTCCCAGGAGTCAAGCAAATTCTCCAAGTTTGCCTGGCCCACAGAAGTGTCGGGGCTAGGCTTCAAACCTAGGCTGTCCTTTCCTCTAACCCATGCTTTTTACAAATATACGTGCCTAAGGTGCACCAGTAGCAAGTGTACAATTCCATAATAAAACTTTTAGGACGTTCAGAGTTGTGTGATTTTCATCACAATTTTCGAATATTTTCAGCATGCCAAAAGAAAGCCCACACTCAATGGAAGTCACTTTCTTTCTCGACAGTAAAGTCACCCCCCCACCCCCACCCCCCACCCCCAGCTTCTAAACAACCACTAATCTACCGTAGAGAATTACAGACTGCTAGTCCCTTGGGCGGGCTGGCTTTTATGTGTCAAGGCTCACTCATGCTGTAGCTTGTATCAGTGCTTCATTCCTCTGCCAAATGAGACCCTGTGGTACAGATCTCCTGGACCACGTTTTCTTTAACTGTCCCTCAGCTCCGGGACCCCTGGGCTGTTGCCACATCTTGGCACCAGGCCTAGAGCTGCTGCTTAACATTCACGTCTGAACACCTGTTTTCAAGTCCTTTGTGTTAAATCCTTGGGAGTCGATCGTTGGGCACGTGGTAGCTGGGGGGGACTGAGGGCTGGCGGTCAACTTGTGACCCGCAGGGGAGCTGCACAGTGGTGCTGGGGGGCGGGGAGGCCACCTGAGGGCTGCTGCAGCAGCCTGAGAGGCACACTGGGGAGGAAGAAGTTGGGAAGCTGTTGGCTTCTCCGGAGGAGCTTGTCACGCTGGCTCTCCTGATGAACGTGGTTGTTCCCACCATCAGAGGAGCTCGGGACCTCGCTGTCACTGAGGATGGCGGTGGCCCTTGGTGGGCGCTCTGGCCCTCACTTTGAACACTGCTTCCTGGCTCTGGAAGGGAAGATGGTGCGCAGCTCAGTCTCCAGGGCAGGCTCGTCACCCCGGCTTTGATACAGACTCAGCTGTTCTCATCATCAGAGGTGCTGAGGGTGGCTGTGGTACTTTTCAGGGGAGCTCCGGTCCTGACCTTGAGCGTCACTTCCTGGCTCCAGCGCAGATCCCTCAGCCTGCAGTTGACACAGATCTTTCACCCCGCTGGCAGACTTCTTAGCTTCCACCAGTGGCCTTCGGCATTCCCACTGCAGATCCATGAAACAGATCTGCATGAGACATTGTCACGGGCTCTAGGCCTCCAGTCGGACTCACGTAGGACGTTACCGTGGGATCCAGGCCCTCAGCTGGATTCCTGGTGTGTGGAGAGACTTCTTGTACTCTTTGTACATGACCCTTTGGGTGACTATTACAAAATCTATGTTATGTGTCCTATATTGTTCCCTCTTGTAAGCTCCAGACTTCAACAGTAACTCTGGTACACTGTCCGAGGATCTGACACTTTTCCCATTGCCACCTCCGCCAACAGTGCACAAAGGGCCCACTCTGCCCACGCCCTTGTATACTTCACAGCTGACGGTTTTCATTCCTGCCATCCCGGTAGGTTTTAAGTGGTGCCTCACCGTGGTTATGATTTGCATTTTCCTGAGAGCTAATAGTGAGCAACTTTTCATGTGCTTAACTATCTGCATACCTCCCTTGGGCAGATCTGTTCAAAGCCTTCTCCCATTTGATAACGAAATATTTTTACTTTTTAGTTAAAAGAATTCTAGATACACATTTCCTATCAGATACATGAGCTGCAAATAGCTTTTCCCATTCTGTAGCCTTTTCCATTTAATTTGATGTTCTTTGAAGCACACAACTTTTTTTAAATTTTGGTAAAGTTGATTTCATTTATTTTTTCCTTTTATTTGTGTTTTTAGTGTCATATCTAAGGAATTACTGGGCACCAAAACTATCAAGGTTACAAAGATTAGCCAGGCTTGGTGGTACACACCTGTGGTCCCAGCACTGGGAGGCTGAGGCAGGAGGACTGAGAAAGTTCGAAGCCAGCCTTGGCCACATAGTGAGTTCAAGGTCAGCTGTTTATAGCAAGGCTCTATCTCAAAAAGCAAAACAAAGATTTACTCCTATGCTTTCTCCTATGAATTTTGTAGTTTAACTCCTTGCAACCCATTTTTTTTGTTTTGTTTTTGTTTGTTTGTTTTGGGTTTTTTTGGCAGAACAGGAGGGGGGGTTGAACTCAGGCCCTTGCGCTCGCCAGGCAAGCACTTATTCTACTGAGCCATCTCCCCGCCTCTGATTTTGGATTAGTACTTCATCAGCTGTGCAAAGGGCTTGGCTTTCATTCTTTTGCAGGTCAATCACCAGGCACCTCCGTACCATTGGTTGAACTGAACGTTTCTTCTCAATTGCTTTGTTTTGCAACCCTTGCTGAAAATCAATTGACTGTAAACCTAAAGGTAGAGCCGATACTTTTTCAGCAACTATACTGTCACTCTGCCTAGGCTGATATTTAAACAAAGCACCTAAGTCCCCCAAAACAGTTATAATTATTATTGCTGGTACTGGACTTTCATCACATTTCTTTCATAGTGTGTGTTTTAAACCATGAATATGTGTTATTTTTATGAAAGTAGCTTTTAAAGGCTAGTTAATTTAAAGTAACTTTAAAACTCTATTACACAATGTGAAGACTGGATCAAAGGCTAGGACAGCTAGTTCTTTTACATACCAGTCACTCAAATGCGACTAATACTTCCAAGAGTTGGGGTTTTAGCTTGGTGGCAGCGAACTTGTCTAACATGAGCAAGTCCCTGGTTTCCAGGCCTTGCACTCAAAGAAAAAATATATAGCTAGCTAGATACCAAATTGAAAAGTGATATAGATATTCTCCTACCTTTGAGAGATGGGTGCCATGGGCTACACTTTAGTTTTAACTCCCAAGATGAGAGTCCTGGGAGGGAGGGGCTCCGGGAAGGGCATGCATGGCATTAGCGCTGATAAAAAAGAAACCCAGAGTCCTGGTCTCCTTCCCCATGCAAGAAGGCATGCAGCCTCGCCAGACATAAGACTCTCGTGAGCCTAGGATCTTGGACTTTCTGTCTCCAGAACGATGGGATAAATGTCTCTTATTTTTTAAGCTATCAGTCTATGGTATTTTGCTACAGCATTCTGCATGGCTAAAACAATGAGAAATAAATTTCTTAAAGGAAACCCAAAGTCTGTACCATTTAATTACAGGACCCTAAAGAGCAACAGGGCGTTCTACTCACGGCAGAGTATATCAGACCAGACTGCAGCATCTGCTGCCCATACAGCAGCAGTGTGAGATGTGCCGCTCAACCTCATTTGCATCGGAATGGCTGTGGTTTCCCAGCTCCTACCCATGGCTTTTTGTGGGGCCCTAGGATAAATACTTGTGTGTGTGTGTGTGTGTGTGTGTGTGCGCGCGCACACAGATGTCATTTTTTGTCACAGTCTCACTATGTAGCCCAGGCTGGCCTTGAACTTGCAGTCCTAAATGTGCATGTTTCAAATGTTTCCTGGTAAGTCCAATGCACACTCTTAATGGAGAAGCTCTGAACTAAAGCAACATGACACATGCCTGAGCCTCACCAATCACACTTCAAAAAATGTTTAAACTCTTGCGCATTTTCTTTGTCATTATTTTTATTTAGAAGACAACATAGAAATCAGAATTCTTAATGGTAGCATCTCATGGACCGAGTCTCAGAATGTCAGCATGGGACAGACTTTTGGAGTCACTATGCCAACTATTCATTATGCTGAGGAAGAACCTGAGGTCAAGGCAGGTAATTAATTGTGCAGGAATCCGGGCTGTCACACAAGTTCCTAATTCCATCGTGCCTGACTGACTCCTTGGCTTTGCAAGCTGACTGACTCTAACCGGAGGTGACAATATCTTACATAACTCCCACACTCCGGGCGCCACCCAGCTATTAAGCTAAAGCATTCAGCAACCTTCAGAACCTGGTGCCAAGGGCCTCTGGGAAACAGGCGTGTCTTCTGGGCCCAAGAAAAGCTGCACTCTTACTGGGGAGACAACATTAAAAATAAACAGTTGTATGAATAATAAGAGACTGCCCAAAATCATTAGAAGTTTTCCTTAAATTCTGTCTCTTACAATAAAAACAAGTGAGGTATGGCCACAAGTTTGTCATTTTTTCTTAATTTTTTTCAATTTTGAAATATAATGTTTAAAAAAGAAAGAAATCCAGTTTCAAGCAGTGTTCA